TTTCGTCACTCCCCCTCAAGCTTGTGGTTTGTAAATGTCAAAAACTCTAAGTTGCTAAGTAAATATGGTTGTCTAGTGCACAATGGCTTTTGAAAAGTCTGCTGGTTGTTCTGGGTACGAATGTGCAAAGTCTTGTTACCCTTCTTGTATCTTGTTTCTGACAAAGTGGCAATCAATCTATTATGTTTTGTTCTTTCATGGAATATTGGATTTGCTGCGATGTCATTTGCAGCTTTGTATCATAGTATAAAAGGACAGGCTTTCTTACTGTACCTTAGATTTCTCAATAACCCCAAAATCCAGATGATCTCACATGTTGTTTTGGCCATGACTCTGATTTGGCTTCTGCAGAAGATAGAGATACTGTTGATTGTTTGGTCTTCAAGAAATAAGAGCTCCCTAGCTTGATTAGAAACCTGTAAGGATTTTCTTGTCATTGGACATGTGGCCCAGTCTGAGTCACAATGAGTTATGAAAACTATTCTTTTTTTGGGGAAGGGGTCCTAATCCAGGACATCCTTCAGTACTTTAGACTTTATGTGCTGCACTATTGTGAGATTGTTTAGGCCCATGCATGAACTGGCTAAGAATGTGACTGCATAACTATGTTTGGAGAGTCATGGTGAGATAGATCAATTGCCCACAAGTCTTTGATATTTGTAGGATCTTCAAAGCTGGATCATTTCGGAAGATGATATCCCACTGTCAATTCTTGCGTAGTAGCTTTGTATTTTGTTCTCTGGAATGATACTTGGCTTGCATCTGATGGTCCTGAATCAGAGAAGTTCCAAGACTATGTATGTTGGCTAAGGGATATTCCTGCTGGGGATCTTGCAATTTCAATGCCTGAAATACTTTGGCTATCCTAATCCTTTATTTGGAATTGTCTGTAAGATGTCCTTTAAGGATTGATGCCTGTTTCATCATTTCCTGTATAAGAATGTCATCGACATATATGATGAGAGCAATAAAAGTTTTACCTTTGTTCCAGGTAAATAATGCATAGTCATGTTTGGACTGAACAAATCCTATACCAGTGAGAACTTTACTAATTTCTCATCATTGTCGGGATGCTTGTTTTAGCCCATAGAGGGATTCTACAGATGAAATAGTGTTCTCCCCTGTCTGCGTAATCCCGGTGGAAGATCTATGTATATTTCTTAATGAAAATCCCCATGAAGAAAGGCATTATAACGTACCATTTGATGGAGATGCAGTCATGAACAGAATTCTACGGTAAGAAAAGTAGAACAATGACTGTTTGGCTACGGGGGAAAAAGTGTCTGATAATCAAAACCCCCGCTGAGTGTATCCCTTGGCCACTAATCGGCTTGTGCCATTCTATGGAACCATTAGCATGATGCTTGATTTTGTAGACCCATTTACAACAATAGGTTTCTATTGAGAGAGGCGAGGCCACAGATCCCAAGTATGGTTCTGAGAGGAGAGCAGTAAGTTAGCAGCATGGCTTGACGCAGTGGAGAGTGTTAAAAGCCCTCTAGTAATCGTGGTGTTCTCTTTCTGCGGAGATGTTCTGATGCAAGTCATATATAGAGGAGAGAGACGATCAAGTACATAATGAGGTGGGATACAGTGGAGGTTGAAGGATCGAAATGGCGGGACACTCATAATCTGTTGCCCAGATTGGTGGTTTAGTCTGACGAGTGCTGCGACAAGTAGGAACATTAGGAGCCTGAACGATCTGGGTAGAGGAATAAAGAGTTGATGGTTTGTCTCTGACTGATATGGTTATTAGTGTTGGTTGTGTCAGAGTCAATAGTAGGAGTGCTAGGTGCAGGAACTGGTGGATTAGGAACCATAGTGAACAGGGATCTTGAAGAGTATCATTGTAGGGAACACTAGGTGATAGTGAGTGAGGTGATGGTGATGGTGATAGAATAGTGTCTTTGTGGCAATGGAAAAATGTCTTCATGAACACATCTCGGGAGATCAAAAACTTGTTTGTAACTGGATAATATCGCTGTATCCTTCTAAAGCATGGATATCCATAAAACACAACGGGTAGCCCGAGTACCAAACTTATCATGTGATCCAAGAGTGGCAGTCATACAAGGACAACCAAAGACTCGAAGATGATCAAAAGATGGTTGCTTCTTGAATAATATCATAAGGGGTCTTTCCATGAAGGACTCTACTGGGCATGCGGTTGATCAGGTAGGTAGCAGTGATCACACATTCCCCCCAAAAAAGATAGTAGGTGGGCTTGGTGTTTAAGGGCACAGGCTATTTCTAGGAGATGACAGTGTTTTCGTTCGACAACCCCATTTTGTTGTGGAGTATAAGTGCAAGAGCTTTCATGTAGTATCCGCAGGATGAAAAAAAAGGGAAGACAATTATGATTTAAGAATAGATCTCCTAGCATGTCTGTTCTAATCCTTTGGACAGAAGTATGAAATGTGTGTTGACCACGGGTAGAAAGTGTGTGATGTGCGTAGTGTTTGGGCTTTGGATTGCATGAGAAAAGTCATGTACCCCAGGAAAAGTCATCACAATGGTGAGAAAAATTGGGATCCATCATGATTTGGAGTGTGATAAGGTCCCAAATATCAAGATGGATTAGGGTAAAAGGTTGTGTCATAGTGGAAGTGCTATGTGGAAAAGTAATCGAGCTGTTTAGCTAATGGACAGATGGGACAATGAGGTTGGGGATAGTAACACTGTGACCTAACTTTGAGGAGAATAAAGAGCTTTATTAATTGTTGCATTACAATTGGTAATTTTATTGGTTGTAATACAGGAGTGAAAATTCTAGAAGACTTAGCAGGTGCCCAATAGTATAGACCTCTATGACCTTACCCAAGCCCATCAGTTTTCCAGTCGAAGGGTCCTGAAATTCAACGTGTTAGGACAAAATTTTACAGTGCAAGTATTGCTTCACTAGTTTGGATACTGATATGAGGTTAAAATGAAAAATAGGGACACATAATACATTTTTAAGGAAAAATTTTGGATAATTGGACAATTCCTATGTGAGTGGCGGGGGTTATGTTTCCTTCGGCATGCGAACAGAGGTGGATTGAAGTGTGCAAATAGAGTTGAAAATTTTGGATTACAAATGATGTGCACATAGCCCCTGAATCAATAACCACATGTCAGTAGTAATTAATTGAAAGTAAGATACCTGCATAAGACGCTGTAGTGTGTGGGGCATTATTGAAGCTGGAGCAATTGATTATATGATCTAAAGTGAGAACGGGTGCTTGCGGATTGTTAGAAGAAACTGAATCAACCTGAAAAAGAAAGAAGAATTGTTATTTTTGTCTTTAGGACGACCATGTAATTCTAGCAATGGTCTCGATCATTATTTGTTCTTTTGCAATATCACATATAATAGCCCCCGATTAGATCGTGAATTGTCAGATTGATTGGACCCGTTTCTAGATCCGTTTGAACCAAGACTGGGCCCATTTGACTAGTTGTTGACCTTTTGACTCTGATTGTGATGTGGCTCGATTTGAGCTTAGATGTGTTTTAAAAACGCAATTAGCTTCTGGCGTCAGATCGCGAGATGAAATCTGGGCCTTTCATCTCTGCATATAAATTCATGCCTTCTCTTTGCAGGTTTCCCTACTGCGAGCGCACATCTTCTGTTTTCCTTAGTCCTGCAAAAACCAGAGAGTCAGTGGATGCCGATCGGAGTGCAACTGGCGTTGGCTCTCATCCTGCACCGCCAGTTGAAAATCCAGCGAGAGAGGTGGTGGAGATGTAGCCGAAATTTGGGTGCGAAAGCTAAAAGCTTTTGTTCAACCCGAGCAAAAGTGCGACAGGCGGTCACGATTGCAGATCAGTTGGTACTAGTGGAGAGTTTCTGGGGCCCTTTAGAGTTCTCTCAATAGCGTCCAACTCGTTCCAACGGCGAAGAGCCGATGAAATAAGTGGTATCGCAAGCGTTTTCCTTGTTTAAGTTCGATCAATCGTTGCCGAAGAGTGTATGTTTGGCGAGACGAGTTTTTCATACATCTATCTGATGTATACCTATATATCGCGGCCATCTCTGTGGTGGGAGTCTGGCCGATGAGAATGTAAGATGCAACTTACTGATCCATGAGTGGACCAGTGTGTTGCAACGGCTTCAGTGGCGTTGGAGGTGTGGCTGTGGTGGTGGTTGGAAAATTTTGTAGGAGAGCTCTGTTATCTTTTGCGAGTGGAGATATCTGAATCGGAGCCCAGGATGCATAATTGTTTGAACCCATAAGGGTTTGTTTGATGAGGACCATTCGGTCCATCGAAAACCGACGAAACAGAATGTCGCCTGGTTCAGGGACTGTTGCTGGTGGCTAGGATGAGGTGAAATGGGTATGGGTGAGGGATTTGGATCCGTACCGTGGAGAAAAACAGATTCCAGTTGGACTCGGTACGCCAGAGAGTTGGGTCGAGGTTGGTTGCGGGTAAAAGATCTGGTCATAACCTAACATTCCTATGGGTAACGGGCTGGGTTAGGCCTGGTTGTGTGTTTGGCGATTGGGATTGAACTGTTGGGAGTGGACTAGTTTGTTTTGATCTAGGTCGGTCGTTGGAGTTGGATTTGCAGTTTTGGTGGGCTGTATTTGATTGAGTTTGAGTTGGGTTTGGATATCTATCTGCCATTTGCAGAAAAATAAACACTAAAATGAGTTTTCTGTTTGATTTCAGGGATAGAAAAGAGAAGCTTGTTTGTGCGGAAGCGTGAAGATATGGCTCTGCTACATGTAAGGCATTGATATGAAAGGCAAAAAGTAGCAGTTCAGGACGTTGATACTACCAAAGTATGCTGAGAGAAGAGAAAGAGGAAAAGATTTTGTATATTTCAATTGTATAAACTGTACAATGCTAATTTATACACTTTTTGTAATTGTAAAAATGGAAAACAATGGAATACAATTAAATGTTATATTCAATCAATACAATAAATTATGGATTGATTGAAGAGAGAATTGCTCCTTGATCAAGAAAAACTAGCATGAATCAAGGAATTTGTGCATTCCATATGCGTGGCAAATGTCTGGCTTAACATCTCCTCTACAAAGAGCCATTCCTCTAACTATATCGGGGTCTTGACCAGACGATGCAATGTAAAAACCATAGTTGATTTTAGTGTTAGAGGAGAGAGACGAAAGGAGTCGATTAAGGTTTGATTTGTATGCACTATTCTCAGAGAAGTTGCCTGGCTCGCTTAAACAAAAGTGTTGAAGTATTTCTTGCTTGGCATTAATGGTGAGAGCAACAAGGTGTAAGGCAACGGTGACAGCAAGAAGCAGCACTCCTAAAGAAGCCATTGCCGAGCTAATTAAAGGACTCTTCTTATGTTGAGTCTTGTGAGAACGGACTGTCTAATTTAACACATATATATAGACTCAGTATATGTTAGATGGTCTTATTGGTAATATAAACTCTGAGGTGAAATCAAATTTTAAAATTATAAGGGAGAGCACTTGTCTAGGTTTGGAACAAACTTTAGGTAAAGATCCAAACTAATAAACCGACGTAAAAATATGATAGGTAAGACACTAACATCTAATGTTCACGAACCAAAAATATCATTTAAAAGCAGTAAATATATAGTCGTCGCTGACATCAATATCGTGTCAATGGGTGCCACTTGACCAAAAATTCCACTAGCCACATCATCGTTGTTGACGGCATCAATGGTCCACTAGCAAATATAGAAGAACAAATTGTGAATTGGGATTCTCTCTTGATTTGAGCTCTCTTAAGTACAAATCAGACCCGGAGAGAATATTGGTCCAAAAAATATAAGGTTTAAATAATAATATTGAAACTAAAAGTGTAAACATATACACATTGAAAGTGTTTTATATATATTTGTATAGATGGTATACTCACATTTCATCATATGTGTATGTGTGTTGACTGTATACAAAAACCAAACCCAAATAGACCAAAGAATTTATAATGGGAAACATGAATAGACTAATACGGAGTTTAAAAACAAAATCATAATAAGAAGACAGCTAGAAATAGAGGAAATAATTTATTTAATACTTATGAGTTGTATTCTTTTCTCATTATTCATACATTATGATGCAACGAGTTAGCATAATAAAACAAAGTTAGCACTCGACTACACCTTTAGAATGATAACAAGTCTCAATCACAAAAACTTTAAACCTTAAAATATGAAATAAAATCTAAATAATTCATTAACATTTGAAATGAAAAATAAGTTTATATAGGGTGACAACCAACCTTAATAAAACTCCTAATAACAAAAGAAAACAAAATCTAACTTAATTAAAACAAGAAAACCCGAAATAAAATAAGAAAAAATACGTAAAAAACTAAAATAGCCTCTAAACAAGCAAAAACGGTTGTTTTTGATCTGAAAAGCAACTTGCAATTGGCTAAAGAGGTTCCCACATTGTCGGGTTTGAAAAAAGCTTTCCGTTGATATCTTATGAGTCCCAAAACTTCTTTCGAATTAAAAGTTATGATTGTTTGAATGAAACGTACTCATTTAGAACCTTTGACTTTACGTATGGGCTTTAACGCTCAGCACACTTCAGGAATTTTTCCGCTAGATATTCTACGTCACATTAATTAAACACATAAATTGATTAATGAATTTTATTGTTGTCTTCATAAGTTAGGTGTTTTGAGAATCAAAAGTGACTATCTGTGATTTGCTATAATTATCCAGCCAACTTAGAGGCCAGAGAGTGTTTCTGCACAGAAAAAGTCCCACACTGTACTAATAATTACCACAGAGAAAAAACTTAAAGCGAGACAATAGCACCAAGCCCACCATCCATTTGTATATTTGAAAGGAATTAATAAGTACACAGATCTTTTTAAAATTTACATGAAAATTGGACCACGTTTATATATATTTATGATTGGAGTATCCAGACTAACTTATATATATTTCAACTAATCTTTTAAGACCTTAAAACTATTTACTGGATAAGTGCTCTAGTGGCCACCTTGAACTGGGTAAGAGCTCTAATAAGTTTTTCTATTACAGGCCATATGGACTTGAACTTAGAAGATTATGCAAACTTAGATCCTCTTTTATTTTTTTACCATCAGATCACCTAATGATGATTGTTTATACATATATTTGCGTGCTATGTGATTCATTTTTCATTTGACAAAGTTGGAAAAAGATAAAGAAAAAGCACTCGCAGAAGTGATGCGACTGTTTAAGTAAGCAACCATCAAAGAAAACTACTTAGACTCCAACGAGGGTAGCCGAAGATCATGAAACTTCTTAATTCTACGTATTTGAATCATATCTCAACTCTATCATGTATGAGAGCTATATAAACCCATCATGACTTGTTTTCTGGGGCTAGACAATTGTTCTAAGTAAATTTTCCTAGGAATTATACTGTTCTTTTTAAGCTCTCGAAAGCAATAAGATAACAATGGACGTACGCTCAAGTTTTAACTTGCCGAACTACTTTAAAAATCTCTTTGCCATTTACTTTATTGCATTTATTATTCATCTAATACTAGTTATTCGTAATCACGCACAAACCCATTCCGGTTCCGACAAGGTCAATCGGAATTCTTTGGTTGGTGCAGATATTTGTATCAACAATATGATAAATCAAATGATTTTATCAAGAATATATATAAAGATATTAGAAATATCTTCAAAAATATAAATAATTAAATAAAGAGATAAAGTGCATATATTGTGAATTATATTAAGATAATTCCAAAAATTAAATATAAGATTATTTTTAATTTCAGGATTAATTTACATAATTCATAATAAATTTGATTATGTCGATAAATAATTTTGGAATATTATCTAATATTTAGAAATAATTTATAAAGTTAGAATATTTAAAAAAAACAAAAAGGAATTTTGAATTAAATTATAATTTGGAAAGCCCATGAAACTACGTAGTTTTGAAGCAGCTTGTTTAGCATTCTTGCAAAAGCATTTGATATAAGGTTATAATGGGCATTTCCCCTTTAACATATTAAATAAAACATTTTTAATAAGTTGGGGGATGATAATGCAATTTTAGCAAGGATTGGGGACCTTTTGGACAGCCAAAATATATTATAATTACAAATTGGCCCTTACAAAAAATAATATGATTTGAAAAGATTTATTGTAAATTAAATAACCTAAACATCGTTTAAAAATATAAAAATTTATGGGAAATTAGAATTTTAAAAGATGTAAAAAAAAAAAAAAAAAAAAATACCAGAATCGACGAATAGTATATTTTCTTTGAGCTGGAGCTTTTTAAAAATTAGTGATAAAGACTTAATTCTATTGATGCGTAGAATAGTTTAGGGAGTTTAGATAATTCTCCACATTTTTCTTGAGTTTTTGTAAAAAGAGTTTTCACGCTTATTAAAATTGAAATGTCTAATTAGGGTCCCTCCAAGTGGGCCCAATTCAAAGAGATATTTAAATTCTAATTCCACACCATAACCCACTAAATAATGCCTTAGCGAAGTGGCTGGGGTCCACCAGCATATGAAATGTCTAATTAGGGTCCCTCCAAGTGGGCCCAATTCAAAGAGAGATTAAATTCTAATAAACCCTATTGGACGTTCTTACTTACCACACCATAACCCGCTAAATAATGCCTTAGCGAAGTGGCTGGGGTCCACCAGCATATGAAATGTCTAATTAGGGTCCCTCCAAGTGGGCCCAATTCAAAGAGATATTTAAATTCTAATAAACCCTATTGGACTTTCTTACTTACCACACCATAACCCGCTAAATAATGCCTTAGCGAAGTGGCTGGGGTCCACCAGCATATGAAATGTCTAATTAGGGTCCCTCCAAGTGGGCCCAATTCAAAGAGATATTTAAATTCTAATAAACCCTATTGGACTTTCTTACTTACCACACCATAACCCGCTAAATAATGCCTTAGCGAAGTGGCTGGGGTCCACCAGCATATGAAATGTCTAATTAGGGTCCCTCCAAGTGGGCCCAATTCAAAGAGATATTTAAATTCTAATAAACCCTATTGGACTTTCTTACTTACCACACCATAACCCGCTAAATAATGCCTTAGCGAAGTGGCTGGGGTCCACCAGCATATGAAATGTCTAATTAGGGTCCCTCCAAGTGGGCCCAATTCAAAGAGATATTAAATTCTACTAAACCCCATTGGACTTTCTTACTTACCACACCATAACCCACTAAATAATGCCTTAGAGAAGTGGCTGGGGTCCACCAACCTTTGGAAAATGAAAGATATACTTACTCTTGTTTTACCTTAACGTGTTGTTGCTTGTAAAATACATTGAATCATTAAAGAAGGAATGTCTTGTGTTGGAACGAGTGAGCCTTGTGTTGAAGAAAGGCTTGTGAGAGAACATGTCCCCAGTCTCGGATTAGAGTTGACCTTTAAGAGTGTTGTGGGCTTATGTCAGAAAATGCCATTAGCTTACCTTTGAGAGTGTCCTCAGCTTACATTAGAGAAAGCTATGGTTTTACCTCTAAAAGTCTTGGGGGTTTTACATTAGAGAACACAGGGCTTACCTCTAAAAGTGTCGTGGGTTTACTTTAGAAAACGTCATGGGCTTTATTGAGGTCCCTAGAAGCAGGCATTTAAGCCTAAACTGGAGCATTGGAGCTTGATTTGTGGTGTTGTACCCTAATTGGATCTTGATTGTAGCATTGGGCTTCATTGACAAAAATGACCATCAACAGTAATAAGCAGAAAATGAAAGTTAATTTTAATAATTTAATATAGAGATAGCTTTGTCATGGTGAAAATTATAACAAAGTGAGGTTTCTTTAGTTTGTTAAAGAAGTGCCAATACACCCACCTTTGAAAAGTACCAGTCATGGTGCAAATTGTCAGGTTTCTAACATATGGCAGTATTTTAATGGACAATCCAACCACATCAACATTATGATGTGATGGGACTGTCCCATGTAAGTTTTTCTTCGAGTAAACATACTCCGAGCATTGTGATTTAATATAAGATATAATATTTATTGTAGTCCAAAGTTAATTTCCAAAATCATACCAAATGGAGTTGCGTTTGCAAACAATTTGAGAGTGAGTGAAGATCTTGTGAATCTTCAATGACCTTCTAGATTTTTAATTGGTCGATTAAGAGTATATGAAATTTTATTTTTTTCAAAACAAAAAAAGAAAAAGCTTGAGAGAATTTAGACAATGCAATCTTTCTTGTATTGTATGGAATATATAGAATATGAGAAGTGCCCTTCTACTATGTGTGAATAAACTGAAAATAGTTCAAGAAAACAAAGAAAGATACAGAGCTAATCAAGAAATGATTTTAGATTTCTTGTTATTGTAACTGAATGTCTAACAGAACAGTACACACGAATATATCTTCTTCCCTTTTATACAATCACTTGGAA